CTCAGTTAGTCCTGGCCCGGATGGAAACTCGCCCAATCACACTGTCTATCCTAAATTCCCTCTTGGACCAATCTCTTACCGAGTCACAATTCCATTCACAAGATTTTCCAGCTACAGTTTGTTCTATGTCAAATCAACCTTTCCAAGCAACACCAAAGTGGATGAGCCAATTAGACAACACTTGGTGGCACTTGTACCCAAGAATCACACATTCCATCAATGGTTTACCGAGTCATGCCAACCAGTTCCTCTGAATTATCCAAATCCACTCTTCTATATGGATGGCAATGGGAATGGATACGTATTCCATGCCCATTTCACATCGTGAATGTGTTCATTCCCCATGATGTGGACGTCACTCAGGGTGTGAACTCGGGACTCCGGGCTGACCAAGGTGCTGAGAAAACTCGAATTCCGAAACAACTCTCCTCGTAACTCTCTCGGTCGTGCAAACTGTTACAGCGCTAACAGGTATAGAAAGTAGAATAATAGTAGAATTACAAAAATGACTCTCCATAATTAGGATTAAATTCTAAACTCTATTTCTACTACAATTCAACTTTGATTAGACAGATACTCTTTTTCCATCGTGATCACTGCTATGGAGGTAACAATACATTATACTAACTCCATTCCAAACCACAACAATAAAAAGAGTGGCACTCTCATTGAAGATGGAGCTCCTGGATTTTGAAGACATACAACCGGTCAATATAGTTATCTCACCTTGGATGACACATGCATGGAAATCGATTGTCGTCATCCCTTCCATCGGTCATGATCAGACACTAGAGGAGTGACCTCTTGCAATCATATGTATTATTAACACTTATTGTCCTACAAACTAACTAGATTCGTAGATGAAAGGAGAAATGGATGACCTCCATTTTGTGGCTACAGGACCCTGTCCCTGTGTGTTACCTCCATCCAGGCTTGGTGGAAGAGAAAACTGCAGACACTTGATGGAGGTGTACTCGTGTAAACTGGTCAAAGATGCCCTTACAACACTGTTTGATAAGAAGAATATTCATGATTAGCTTTTTTGCAATGTTTGTTTGAAATATCAACTACAAACCTTAACACAGAAGAAGTCCTGAGTGCTAATGCTGTATTTGTCACGTTGATGTCCACCTCTGATTCTGTCAATGCGATTGGGATTGTCAAACATCCGATTCCATACTTGGAGGCCGTCAACAATATGTTCCTAAGTCCTCTTGCCACATCTGACGACGTTGAAAGTGGTGTTTCGCCCCATGGTGTTCGGTCTAGATATGTGCGATACGAACAGAACTGTTAGCAGGGTGTTTCTGAATGTTAGAAGCAAGTGGCGTATCATTACTTTTGCTGTCAGCCAAAAGATGAAAGACAACCTGGACATCAGAGAGGTTGGAGTGCTTGGTAATGAAAAAATCGCCATTCTTAAAGTGGTTGGTGTCGACAGACTCTTTGAGAATGGAAATCTGTTGCTCGACAGAATCAAAGTGTAACTCGGTGGACATATTACAATATTGAATAAAGTCTGTTTGGTCATCCCCATCATCATATTAGTAATTTACATCTAGACAATCATATCCTAGTCCATACACAGCACTGTGTTCTACTAACCTACTCTTCTCACTTTGTGAGCTGAACGATAGTGAAGGATCGGTCAAAAGTATTACAGCAGAGAGTGAGTCTGAATAGAGTGTCTGGATGTACTCTATTCTCTTTGTTTTTAGATACTCTCCAGTCGAGACAGGTCGGCAGAGTTGAAGAGGAGAGGCATCTATCAGACGGAATTCAAATATCTTCTTCTTCTGTACACCTACACCAACCTGTAGGTTGTCCATTATTCTGTAACCCAAGGATGGTGGCTTGGCCGTTTGTTTGGCTGGTCTGACAGCAGGTGAGAATGTCGATCCAACTGATTCCTTTCTTGGAGGCTTTGAATTGGAGACGCTGTTGGAAAATGTATTGGTGATGCTGCCAATGAGTGAAGATGCACCTGACGATGATGATACATCATTGTTGTTGTTGTTGTTGTTGTTGCCAACTGTTGATGATGGCGATGTTGATGATGATGAAGATAATAAACTGGAGATACTAAGTGGCTTACTTCTGGGCTCTGTAGTTGGCGATTCCAATGTTGGACTCGCCAGTGGTGGTTGTTGAGATGTTGGTGTCGATGATTGTGGCTGTCCAGGTGTTTGTTGAACTGTCTTCTTGAAACGATCCAATGAGAAGAATGAAGAGGCTCTCTGTACGCCCTTGTCTAATCCTTGTCCCAAAGAACCAATTATACTGACCTTTTCAGACTCTTTGGATGGTGTTGTCTGATCTTGCTTTCTGCTGTGAAATGGTTGAGGAGGGTTTGATCCCTTTCTACTGCTACTACTGCCGCTGCGAGGCTTTGTTGTCACCAAAAGATCTTCGTCGGCCTTGTCCAACTCATCCTTTGTAGTCTCTAGCCAATAGAGATCATTGAGGAAAGAAGTAAAGTCGTTCTTTTGCTTCATTTTCATTGCACTTATCTCGCCTTGATATCGCAGCTCCACCTCATCAGTCTTTGATACATTGTCAGTGATCAATTCCTCGATCTTATCCTTAGCACCCTCATCCGCTGCCTCTTGCATCAACTTTGAGTGACTGTCAGTGATTGATTGTAACTCCTCTTTTCGCTTGCTCAGCAGAATGTTGAATGCAGTGGCGAATAACTCCTCCTGGTTGATGATCTTCTCTTTTGACTCGCTCGACTTGTTGACAAGATAGAGGAACATCTTGATTCTCTCCTCCTGGAACTTTTGCTCGGCAGTCTCTTCATTGGGCAACATACTGTTCCAATAGTGTGTTCTCTCAGTGTACTGATGCGCCAATGTCATTGTCTTTGATTGAATCATTGATAGAGGGAATCCTTCAACTGTGTATATATATATATATATATTAGTTTAGTTAATGAGCTCTAGAGTGTTAGAAGATGAGAGATCAAAGAACACTTGTGACAACGATGTCATCGTTGAATGATTGGACACTCACTAGAAGCCTCATCCTGTCGGTCATGATACTCCTGTCGGTTTATGTTTAAGAAGGTGTCTATTGTGTTCAACAATGAAACAGATAGGTATGGTGGTATATCATATTCTCTTGAGAACTGATCGACAGCAACTGACGAATCCTCACCCTTCTTTAGAGTGAACAATGCAGACACATACTTCTTGCCAACAGGAAACTCCAATGGGAATGATATATCCGTATGTACTATCATCCTATCTATATCTCTATCTATTTATCTCTCTCCCTTTGATTAGTTACAACAACAAAAACAAAAACAGGTAGAGAGAAAGTCCCTACCGATCAATCTCACATCTGCATTCAACTGAACATCACAAATGACTGACTTTTGTTTATATATATGCAATACTATGACATCCAACACAATAGGTCGGAATGATATATGTTGGTGAAGTTATTAATTGTCTCCATACTTTGATTTGTAGATCGCTTGTCTATCACCCATTCTAATGCGCCATTGAGTCTCGTCTGGCACCTTCTCGGGATCGCCTCCATACTCCACATACAAGTTGTTGAAAGGGAGATCTCTCTCCACCTGTGTTTATAAACCATGGTTTGGTAGAAGGAGTGTGTCAGTGAGATTGTACGTCGTCCTGACCTAATGAGCGTTGTGTCTAGTCATCTGACAACCAAACTAATACTCACAACTTCCTTTCTTGTTGGGTTGATAAACATATAGCAAGCGAAACCGACGCCAGCCAAAACTGCGAATGCTCCAACAAAGTAGTTGATAACTGCACTTGGATTCCTGTTCAAGTAGGGATCATCATCAGGTGCCATCATATCTGGGTGTTGATCAAAAGTTTCTGGTACCTATGTTGTTGTCAATGTATTATCATTATTATTATCATTATTGTTATTGTTATTGTTATTGTTAATGTTGTTGTTATTGTTATTGTTATTGTTATGTTGTATTTGTTGTCGTTAGTAAGGATAAAGAGGTTGTCAATGACGACAACAAATACATCAATCACACAACAACATACCTCTCCATCATAAACACCTGGCTCCTTAAAGACGATTGGCTTTCTGTGACCAGCTCTCTGTGAGTTGAGCATGGCATTGTAGCCATGACGTGCCAATGGACCTGACCTTGAGAATAAAGACCTATACATTGTATGTTGTAGTAATGTTGTTGAATATGATGTAGATGGTTTATGTTGAGGTCATGAAGAATAGGTCAATGACCAAACCTACCTTTTTTTTCAATTTTTTATAATTTGAGTCAATGATCACAAACGACAACAACTTTCACCAACCATCTATCTCTTTAAACAAATACATTCAAATTCAAATACACATACACACACAAGAGATGATAAACTCATTTACAACATCGTTTATAAAGCCATCTACAATGATGTTGGTTAGGAGGTCGACCGTTCCCCTCTCCAACTTTAACAGATCTTTCTCGACCGTGCAATCAGTAGCGACATCATCATCATCGACAACAACAGTAGCGACAACAGAAAACAATGGTCTCAAGCAGTTCTTTGAGCACGAATACAAGAAGGGCACATATCCTCTATCTGGAAATTCATGGGAGGCCAGAGATCTGCGAGGCAAGTCATTCGAGGATCTTCACAAACTCTGGTTCGTGCTTCTCAAGGAGAGAAACAAGGTGGCCACTGAGAGAGAGCTGGCCAAAGGACACAAGCTCACAAATCCACTACGTTTGAAGAAGGTAAGCATAGTTCACACACTATAATGATAAGGTCATCAACTAACGATTTATCGATCATTCACATACTACAAATAACAAAATTAGATTCGCAAGTCGATGGCAGCAATCAAAGTGGTGTTGGGAGAGAGAGATCAATTGAGGAAGCAATTGTATATTTTAACACAGTGTCAAGACAATGAAAGGAAGGAGGTACTGGCCAACATTGAGCGTTTGAAGACGCTTGTTGGCGCCGTGTCTCTGACACCAGGTCTGAAGGATCTGGAGAAGCTGCAAGACTCATTCAAGGTTGACGAGTCACTGTCGATTGAGGAATCAATTGATAACCTTGTTGTTGGTAATAATACAAACAAGCAATAAATAAAATAATATTAAATATCATGTTACTTCTCCGAGACTGACAATGGGTCAGGTGATGCGACACTAAAAACAGCCAACTGACCCTTTTGATGGTATTGCGTCAACAATGGTTTTTCAAGCAAAAAAAATCATGCTTTTTGAAATACAACTAGTTTTGGTTGGTCTTTGTACATACTTACTAGGAATCAACTTGTTTTGTTTACCATTACATTGATAGAAATAACAACTTAGCAACAGATAAAGATGTCTTCTTGTCAACAATGCAGTTGCAAGAACTTCCAGGCCAACAGGTTCAAACCTTTGTACTGTTCCATATGTCTACATAATCATACACAAAAAACATCATCTCTACAGCAACTGGTCCACAATGACGCTGTTGCCAAGCCAAACACTACAACACCACCAGTGACCTCAACCCAGCCCAAGCTTGCCAAGTCATATTCATTTTCTGGATCCAGTCCTCAATCACCTCAGCCATCATCATCACTGTCCACCTCCACCAAGGCAGCACCTCCACCTACGCCTCCAAAGACTACATCTTCTACATCCATATCAACAAAGGATCGTCCCAAGGCACAGGACTTCTCCAAGAACAAACCAGCGGCATCAACATCTAAATCATCAAAGTCCAAGAGCAACAGCAGCAGCAGCAACAGCAACAACAACAGCAACAGCTCTTTGAAGACAAAGTTTGCAGGATGGAAAGGCGCCATTCAGGGCAAGGTGAACAATTTGATGGGCGATGGAAGTGGTGGATCTGATGATTCTTCAAGGTCAGGTGATGCTGTTATGGAGATTTCAGGTCCAACAGACTACAAACACAACACTCATATCGGTATCACTTCAACCGGTGCCATCGAAACCAACAACATCCCAGATGAATGGAAAGAGATATTCAGACAGGTGGATCAAGCTTTGAAATCTCTTGGCAAGAAGGGTGTCTCGAGAAAAGAGGCCGCACTCATCTTGAACGCAGTACTTGCTGGCCAAGCACCAGCAGGAACAAAGTCTCTCCGTAGCACACCGGGCACTCCACCCTCGCTTCCACCAAAGCCGACCTCTCCATCCACAGTCCAGACTCAGTCCACTGTCAATTTGAACAAATCGACACCATCCAATACCTCGGCAACTAGCTTCACAAGCTCACTGTCCACCTCAAGTCAAGCAACGGCGGTCAAACCAAAGCCACTTATCCCAACCACTCCACCACCAAGCTTGCCCAAGCATCAGTCCAATGCCAGCCTCACTACCAGTACAAGCACAACCAGCTCTGCCAACAGTACGCCAAACAAGGCATCGCCAATGATTTCTTCTACAAACAACACTATCAGTGTCTTTGAGCACGAGCAACTGAAGGACAAGCTCAGACAGAGTGAGCAACGACTCAAGAGTCTTGAGCAGTCTGCCAAAACAAACAATGTCAGTCAGTTTGAGCATGACCAATTGAAGGACAAGCTCAGGGAGACAGAGACAAGACTCAAGAACTTGGAGCAAGCATCCAAGTCCAGCACCCTGAGTACTCTAGAGAATGACCAGTTGAAGGAGAAACTAAAGGAGAGTGAGGCTAGGATCAAGAACCTCGAGCAATCATCAAAGTCTGGTGTGGCCAGCTCATTCGAGAATGATCAGCTGAAGGAGAAGATAAAAGAGAGTGAGACCAGGATCAAGAATCTTGAGCAATCCCTCAAGACAACTGTCAGCAAGTTTGACTTTGAGCAACTACAGGACAAGTTGAGTGCAAGTGAGCAGAGGTTCAAAGCAGTCGAGAAGTCAAAGTCAAGCGAGGCTTCGGTCAGTCTATTCGAGTACACTGCCTTACAAGAGCGTCTGGCGGCAAGTGAACAACGCTACGCCCAATTGGAGCAGACACTAAAGTCATCAGAGAAGGAGGTGGCAAGTGTGGCCAGCAAGTATCAGGCTTTGGAAAGAAGCAACCAGATCCTCGTCAAGCAACATAAGGATCTGGAGACTGACTTTGGTCAACTCAAGAAGACTGCACAGGAGAGTGAGCGTAAGAAGGCTATTGACTCTGACAAGAAGCCTTTGTTAGACCAGATTGCAATGTTGGAGAATAAGATCAATGACTTTGAATTGGTATGTGTTGGGGCCATATGACCCCAACAACATCAGCAGTAGAGGTTATTATACTAACATACCAAACTAACAATAATAATAGGAAACCAAATCAAACCAAAGTCGTGAAGCAACCCAAACAAAGAGAATCGAGGAGCTTATGAGGTCACTGAAGGAGATGGAGCAGTCCAACTTTGATCTGTCTCTCAAGAACAAGGAGGTTATGGCAGAGGTTGAAACTGTCAAGTCGGCATTCTCAGCCGAGCAGACCTCTCAGCTAAAGGACATGACATCTCAGCTCTCAAAGAAGGAGAAGGATCTGAGGGAGTCGTTCGAGGCACAGTACAATCAAAAGCTCAAGGAGCTCAAGGATGTCAACGAGCAACTGTCCAACAAGCTCACTCAGGAATCAAACCGTGTGTCAAAGGCAGAGGTAGAGTCACAGTCAAAGCAACGTGAGTTTATCCTGGTGTCCAAGCAAAAGGATGAGATTTCCAAGCTACTCGATCAATCACAGAGCACCATCGATCAATTGTCCAACGAGGTCGATTCACAGGCACAGACCATCAAGGGTCTCAAGTCATCCCAGGCTCAGTCACAATCCATTTTGTCAGATAGCAACAAGCAAGTGGAGGACAATCTGGTACAGATCAGGAACCAATCCAATCAGATAACCAAGTTGTCGGCACAGGTCGATGAGCAGGTTGGACAGTTGGACAAGTACAAGCAAGAGGTTTCAAACCTTCGCCAACAACTTGGAGCATCTCAGCAGAATGCACAGTCCTCTGAGCAAAGTGCTCAGGTAATCCAACAACAGATCCAACAGTTGGACAAGTACAAGCAGGAGTTGGCCAGTGTCCGTCAAAACCTCCAGGAGACCCAGAAGGAAGCCCAACAACAAGTGCATCAATCACAACTGTCTCACCAACAACTTTCTGAGAAGTACCAGAAGGAGATCTCCAATCTCCAACAACAACTTCACGACGCTCAGAAGCAGACTCAACACAGCAACCAGGAGCACTTTGAGAAGTACAAGAAGGAGATATCCAACCTTCAACAACAGCTACTGGACAGTCAATCCCAATCTCAGCAGACCCACCAGCAACAGTTGGACAAGTACAAGCAGGAGATTGGAAGCCTCAGACAACAGTTGTCAGATTCTCAACAACATCAACAACAACAGGCACAGTCTCACCAACTTCAACTTCAAAAGCTACAACAAGCCCAACAGGTCCAGGTTGTTCAACAACCAACCACCCCACCACCTCCTCCTCCTCCAATGCCCACTGCACCACCTCTTCCACCACCCACCACCTCCTCCTCAAAGGCCAAGCCATCCGATGGCAACCGCACTGCACTGTTGGACGCCATCAAGAATCCTGAAGTGTCCTTGAGAAATGTTAGACAGTCGATGTTGATCAAACACGATGCAGCTCAGAGTGGCGATTCAAACGATATGGTCAACATTCTGGTTAAAGCTCTGATTGATAGAAGAGCAGGAATGAACGAGGATCAAGACGACGACGATGAAGAGGACTTTGGATGGGATGATTAGACAATCCATTGATTTCCAACCCTCCACCTATGTACTACCAACAATAAACCTTTGATACCAACAACAAAAATAATGATTGTAAGTGAAACCAAAAACTGAAAGGAAAATGGTTGATTCGTTGAGTGATTGTCCAATCAGGAGACCAACCTCTAATGTATCATCCTGTTGTTGTTGTTGTTGTTGTTGTTGTTGTTGTTGTTGTTGTTGTTGTTCTCTCTATTGTAGTTTGTAAATGATGGCCAATAACAAAATGACAACTGGGATGACAATCAAAACCAGCTTGTTACTTGATTGTTGCTGTTGCTGCTGTTGTTGTTGTTGCTGTAGCTGCTTTGGTGGTAGTTGTTTCTTTGGTGGATGGATGTCAGGAAGATTTGTTGTTAGTGGCATTCCTAAATTGGTTGGATCATTTGGTGTCTTTTCTATCGAGTGCATCCATAATGGAAGCTTGTCTCCAAACACTCTTTGCTTTGAGAACTCGATCTGGGTCAGTTCCTCAATACGTTGCTGGCACTCTGAGTAACCTTCCTCCTCCAATAGATAGTCGCACATATCAATGGTTTGGTCCCATTGGATAGAGGCACGACGAGGTAACACGATAGACTGCTTGGGTGTTGATGGATCTTGGTCATCGGAGCAATCAAGAAGGAGATCCACTCTTGCGTGGAAACTGTTGATAATGTCTGCCAGTAAATTCTCTAGAGCCTGTGAGAGTGTGTCTGTCTTGAGTGTGTAGGAGGTGTATTGCATGATTCCATCGCCAACCATCACATGTGACTTTGCATTTGATGATGGACCAACCTCTATCACTCCACTACTCTGTTGTAATAGATCAACAATTGAGGTATCCTTGAGATCTGTCAGTTTGGTGGAGTTTGATTGTATTTGTCCATTGACCAAGAATAGAGAGCTCTGTAAGATGGTGTACAGATGAGCACCAATGAGTTCCTGAATGTCATTGAGTAGAGACCTTCTGTCTTTTGGACTGATGTTCAGAGACAAGTTAGGTGATCAGTTCAAAATGTCTGGCTCTATTAATTGATCAAAGTCATCTTACCTCTCTTTGAGATTGAACTGCAATGACAGTGGTGTTTGCAGTGTGAGTCTGTTGAACTGAGAGGAGACGTTGTTGGTAAACTTGATATCATTCGTTTGGCTTGGCTTTGAGTCAATAGTTGTAGTGGACAGATCGAATGTCTTGAGAATGTATTGCTTGGTTGACTTTAGATGAACCAACACATGCATGTGCTTCAGTCGAGAAGTGAGGACTTTGTGTGATGACCGTCAGGAGAGATATTATATTAGTCATGAGGTATGTGTGTGTGTATCTAAGGGTTGGTTGATATCGACGACATACACTTTCTGTTCAGAAGGGACGTGGCTCTTATTGATGCTACGAGTCTTTGAAGGTCAGTATCTTTGATGGCAGCTACGTTGGGAACAATAAGATAAGCTCCGACAATGTTAATGCCACCATAAAGCATTCTTGATATCTGTCTAGAGTGCTCAGCAATCCAAGTATCGTCAATGTCCTTTGATGAGTGGACACGAGCACTGCCACTGCCATCTTCATTCACTGGCTCTGGTGATGGAATCACTGAAAGGAAAATGGTTGATTCGTTGAGTGATTGTCCAATCAGGAGACCAACCTCTAATGTATCATCCTGTTGTTGTTTTTGTTGTTGTTGTTGTTGTTGTTGTTGTTGTTGTTGTTGTTGTTGTTGTTGATTTACTCTGCTCTCAATGTAGCGTGATATCTCATTATCATAGATAGCCATCTCTTACTATTATTACTTTATCAGTGATAAGTAATGAAGTTCTTTTTCATTATTTTTTTTGATTGTTTCCCCACCCAAACGATGACTAGTCAGAGTGATAGTGCGCATCTCTACAATAACAGATAGATACAAATATAAATATATATAATATAAACAAAGAACAATGAACGCAGCAAGACTTCAAACCACCATCAGACAATCAGTCACCTTTGCTAGAAACTGGGCACCAACTGCTGCTATGTGGGGTGCAACTGCCACTGGTGCACTGTTGTTCGCCATCCAGCCAAGCTTCCTCTTTAAGCATCTCCCAATTATTGGTGATAGATATTTGACTGCCAAGGATATCCAAGCCGCCAAGAAGAAGGCTGAGGAGCAGTAGGATATACAAAGCATCGCCAACAAACTCCACAACATGTAACTCTCACAAATCCTTTCTCGCGAGTATGTAATTGACACGATCACAACAGATTTCTTCTCTCTTCTAACAGTAGAGTGGCTTACCCTATCATTATAGTGAGATTGAGAACGACTCAATAAACCATCATCTACAGTATTTGATAATATCAGACACACAGCAACACCCGATGTACATTGATTATTGTGGACGGTGGGTCTGACCAGAGATCGGCCCAACAACAAACACTCTATAGTGGATGATCAGATATCTTTTATTACTCATCTTTGGTACTTTGTTGTGTCAGACTGACTGATCCACTTGATCGGTCTTTGTTCTCCCTGGCTAGTACCACCATTCGCAGATAGATGATAAAGATAGCAAGGATGATGGCTTTGATCAACACCAACACCACGTCAAACACCTCGTAGATGAACTTTGGAGAGAATACTGTCCAAATGAATAGGTGATAGCGTTGTATCAGGATACAGACGCTAAAGATAAATACGTTTGTCCATTTGATGCCGCAGTCCAACAGACATCCAATCAGTGAGTACCATTGCAGTTCCTCAAGTATGTCTGAAGAAACTCCTGTGGTCGTTGTCAATGATGGCTCAACTTGATGACTAAATAGTGGGTATGATGGGTCAGTGATCAGTAATTGAAGTCAAAGTAAGTAGTACGGTGCTGGGTACATACTTGTTGTTGGCCGACTTGATTGCCAAACCAGCAGAGTAGGAAAGAGACACCAAAAAGAAGAGAATCGGTGCTGAGTATCCAATGAGGAAGGTGAGAGCACCAACCAGATATTGGTTGTAGTCAACGAGTCCTGTGTATGATCCAGATATGTCTATGCTGGACAATGAGTTTGAGTTGCCAAGTGCAAAGTATCCAAATTGTCCAAGCCAATTGATACAGACCATACCAACAATAACACCAGTCATACCACTCCTGGCCCTCCTACCAGTATCTAAGTGTAGGTGAGGAAAAGAGTTAGTAGTATTACAGAGAGGTGATCATGATCTACTTACCCTCCAAAAGGTATTTGAGATAGTAATGGGCAATGGAGCCCATTATTGTAAAGAGGAACATGTTGTGTGTCTTGTGCAACAACAGGAACATCATCACCAGGTTGACAGTGAGCAGTGTCGGTATGTATTTAAGTGTGACCATAAACCATGATGGAATAGAGTATTGTTGTTGTGAGTTGTTTGATCGATCCTAGGTAGCAGGCAGGTGATAAGGTTAGGGAGTCAGGGTGGTAGCAGCAATTACCCGATAGAAGGATCACTTACGTATCGACTAAAGAATGGAATGGAAATAGTGAGTAGGATAAGCAGGGCCACACAGCAGTAGACAAATCGGGCAAGATATACAGGTTCCAGGAGATGGGTGGTATATTCCCATTTGTAACAAAAGATACCAACAGAACATATTACCATTGTGATCTTGTAAAATGTAGTTAACTATGAATGGGCACGGTAGGTAGGGTAATACGTTAGGCAAAATGGACTGCTGAGCTAGAATATTCACTAAATTATCTATGTTCTAACCTTTGATGCCACCTCTCCACTCTTTTTATACTTGAGCTTGTCAAGTAGTTTGAAGACATAGACACATGGTGTCACAACAGACAGCAGTGAGAGCAACCATAAGGATACTTGTGAAATGATGCCACTCGATGTGAGGAACTTGGCAATGTCAATGTAGGTGTACTCGTGAAGCAGTACTTGATCATCAAGCCATTTGACTCCTGTTTGATTCCACACTCTGGCTACTCTCAATCCAACTAGTATTCCTATAAGAATGAGCTAATGAAGGTATTATTGATTAGTGAATGAATGAATGAATGAATGACTAATTCGCTAGTTTGTTACCATTTGTCTTAGACTATCCTTATATTGCTTGGTGTTTTGTTTGGTAATGTAGGAGAGTATAGATACTGAATGGGGTGCCAGTTGCAGTAGTAGCACAGAGGTGGTAAGGAAGTACCAGGTCTGATGTTCCTCTTCAACGAGACTGCTACCAAACAGACTAATCAAATGTAGGATCGTTCCAAATATGATTATGTACTTCTCTTTGCGTAGTTGCAGTGGTGACAGCGATGGGTAGGTGAACAGCTTTAGGTTGTTGCGCGAAATGAAAACATTGAGACCAATAAGAAGTGTCAATGCCGGGAAGACAAAGCTGAAGATCATAAAGTGGAACTCCTCTGTGCAGAATGAATTGCTGTGTTGGGAGTCATCGTCATTCGTGCATATGGTCCTAAAATGGATGGCCAACAGTGCTCCAACAAAGCCAATGAACGATAGTGCAAATGGTACACCCTTGATTTCCAGATTGACCTGTCTATCATTCATTCCAATTGTTGCCGTTGTGATGAGTAGAGTGACCAATGATGATGATCCAATCAGGAATATTCCAACGATCAAAAGGTTGTCATCGAATGAGATGAGCAACGCTGACATCTCTGATTGGGCTTCGGCCAGGAATTCAAGATAGAGTGACGCTGCAGTTTCGTGGAAGTTGGAATGTGTAGGTGATAGTGACCAACTGCTGTGATATTGCTGCGCCTCAGTAAATAGTCGAAGCATGGCAGCAATCTTTGGCTTGGCTGGCAAATCATTCTTCCAAAAGATAGAGTTACTCTTTAGTATATGTATCTGCTGTTGACAGTTGATCTCTAGTGCTCGAAGGTACTGCTCCTCTGGTATGAATCGTTCAAAGAGCTCTGGAATGATCCGTCCAAGACTGTTCTTTGGGATGGGAAGATTGAAGAGTAGTGAGAGTGAGGGTACAAGGTCCACTTGACTGATTTCTTGAGGTGACTTTCCTGGTGGGAATGGTAGTAGTATGTCTGATTCATCACCTCCATGCTGCTCTGCACCATTGTGATGATCATTATCTCCATCTATATGTTTCTCTTGCTTGGGATCATTCTGATGGTCATACAATGTGCTCATCAGCACCATGATTGTGGAGGTTTCCGAGTCTGATGAACCTCCATGATTGCCAATTTCGTTCATTCCATGATCACTACACACAATGAATAGAGTTGGAAGTGGTTTCTTCAGTGTCTTGTCATTGATAGATGCATTTTTGTAGGTGAGCATGGCTTCATTATCACGCTGTACTAATCTTGTATGTATCTTCTTGATGATGTCATCGATCTCCTTCTGCTTTGGACCCATCAATGGACTGTAGGGACCCTCCAAATGACCAATGTGATCCAGTCCTAAATAATGTAGGAACATTGCATCCCAATCATCCTGTTCCAGCTCATCATCCAAGTGTCTTGTTACATTATTGTCCACCTCAATGGTATCCTGAGCGTATGGAGGGGGACAGTTGCATGTTAGGACCATCATTTTTCGGCAGATTTAATACATCATCAATTACGTACTGCTACAAAGAAACTTGTTGTACCATCAGATCGTTTAAAATGATTTGGAAACAGTTTAAGCCAAGTGTCATCGCCAAAGAATATCATGGTCTTGTTTGCCACAGACATCTGATAGAGTAGGTTGTCATCGGTCAAGTCCTTACTATTAAAGTTGTACAGGAAGTCTACAAAGCTTGGTATTTGACCCGAGAGCAGCGCCTTGATTCTCGGTAGTGTTACGGTGGGAGCGTTGGCACGAGCAATGAATGAGTGTGTCAGACCTTCATCGATAAGTGATCGTGTGTAGTTCATTGCCAGTTGATCCTCGCCAAAGAGGAAGCTTGAGCGAAAGGCGTCCACCACCATGAACACAAGCTTGCCAAACTGTGGCTCAACAACCAGATTGTTGTGGTTGTCCACACAGGATGGGTTGTACTGATCGAACGTGTTAAATCCTTGGATCGTTGACTTTCTAGGGAAGAAGCCTCTGGAGAACATAAAGATTCCAAGTAGCTGTGTGATTACTAGTACAATTGAGACGAGTACCATCACTTTGTATCTCGACTTTGGTAGCTTTGAACGCTTGATTGTATCACCAGATGACTCTAGCGATCGACTGGGAGGTGATGGTGAAGGTGAGGATTTGAGTAGCTGATTGGTCAATTGGTCGAATGGTATTCCAATTGGTGTTGTATATAGATTGATCGATGATTGTAAGCTTGGCGATGATGATTGTTGTGGTTGGGGTTGGTAATGAGTAGTATCTAATAATGACGATGAAGTGTTCAGCGTCATCGATGAGGTGATTGGATGTCGTGGTGAGACATGTGTTTCATGATGAAGGATGTTATCATTCAATTCATCAGTATTATCAAAGTATGCTGCCTCTTGGTCAAGTTCAACAACCTTTCGATTGCGCGGTATGCTCGTGTCCGACTTGAGTGTATGGCTAGTACTCCACGATGTAGCACTTGATGAGATAGGTGATGCTTCGGTTTGGTGTTCTGTTGTTGTTGTTGTTGTTGTTGTCAACAGATGATCATTATTCTTCCTCTTAACCATTCTATATCTCTCTATCTATCCCTATCTCTTTTGTGTTTGAATGTAAGGGTAAAAAGACGATTGAGCAAGAACTTCTATCTTCTGAACCACCACCAAGAGTGTTGCAACGTCACCAACCATGATGTGGATCACTGAAGTGTCATTAGTATCAAACGACATGCACAACAATCGTTGAGGATGATAAAGATTATTTATTGAGGTTGGCAGGATGCCTTGCCCAGACCGTCATGGTGAGGAGGTTCTTTCTTGTTGTTGTTGTTGTTGCTGTTGGTTTGATGTTAATGCAGAGGAGCTTAAAGTGCTGTGCCTTGATTGTCGTTGTTGCTGTTGCTGCTGCTGTAGCGATGTTGAAAAGGAAACTGATGAAATGGGTGTTACTGGTGTTGTTGGTTGCTGCTGAGACTGCTCTTCTTTTGACACTGGTCTGGTCTTGTCAGTTTCATTAAGCTGTTGAGGTTTAAGCATTTGCATCATGTTGGCCTTGCCCTGTATGCGTGCATATGTCAGGTCACCCTTCTTTGTGCATTGATACACCTCCCAGGTTCTGTTGTAGAACTTGGAGTAGAATGGAATGATCGTTTGGTAGTCGGTAAAGTTGATAAAGGCATATCCAAGGTTACCCTTTTGCTGTTGGTGTAGGAAATAGGAATGAGTGAGTGAGGGAGAATCAAAGGCAAAAGGACAACTTACAACTGGATCCATGGGTAGGTAAAGAAAGTCGTAGGTGTTGGCAAACTGGTCGTTGATGAGGTCTGCCAGATTGGCCTGTGTCAGACGATTGGGAAGATTCTTGATCATCAAAGATGTTCTACGGTCCAGTCCTTGCTGAACACGATCAATTGAGAGCAGGAAGTCACCGTTTTGTGATGTGTCTGCCTTTGGTCGTGGGCTCTTCTCATAGTTCCTTGGACTCTTGTTCTTAATCAATGAACCATTACTGCTACCTCCTCCATTGTTACTGATGTTTGAGATGATAATATTGTTGTTTGGTGGGGAGAATGTTGGTGGAGAGACATTGTTGATCGATATGTCTGGAGTGATCGTTGTTGTGGTGCTACTATCCATCCCCTGGGCGCTGGTCTTCCACCCACCACTTGAAGAGTGGAGGGTTTGTGACCACATGTAGTTGCCTGCCGATGAGGGGGATGTTGTTGTGCTCGACGGGGATTGACCAAAGCTGGTGGATTGCTGGTCTGCTCGAGGGTCCTCGATGAAGAAGGACTTGATCGATTGGTTCGACTCGAAAAATGGATTGAGATCGATTCCAGTAGGATCGTTTGTGACCTGGTTCAATATCCTCCGACTGCCACCTGGTCGAGAGTACTGAACACGCAATGCCTTACCGTCGATCTCCAACTTGGTGTTCTTCATGGCTTCGGCCGCGTGCCGTACGTCATAAAACTCGATGAATTTGTGTAGACTCTTGTTGGTTGCCTCACGTATGTCTCTGATCTGCCCGTACACACCAAAGAGCTTGTTTAGTCTTTGGTTGGTGACGTCCTGACCAAGGTTGAGGACTACTAGAGTGCCAAGGTCTTGGTTGAACTCCTTGACGATGGCGTAGCAAACGTCGAGCTTCCTCTTCTGGATCTCGACGCCTTGAAGGTTGCGATAGGCAGTGGTCGAGTGACGAATATCATAGTAGTCCACTGTGACAAAGCCACGATGCTTGCACCGAGTCATCATGTCCTTGATCTGTCCATGTTTGGAAAACATTGTATAGAGTACCTCGTCGTCAACAAGAGAGGATACATTGCCAACGAATAGCAATCTCGAGGGGACCTCTTTGATAATGTACGATATGATCGAGTGGTGTTGTTGGAGGGTCGATGCAGGTGCGACCGCTGCAGACAGGTCATCATATGATTTGGTCCTGTTGGATGACAATGAGGAGCTTTGCTGTCCGCCACCAGAGTGTAATGGTGGAGGTGATGGACTTGGTATATGGGCCAGAGTTGAGTGTGTTGGCAATGAGTAGGACAGTTGACTTTGCATGTTTTGTTGTGATAAAGGTAGTGATGGTTGGAACCCAGTGGTCATGCCGCCACTGTTTAGCGCAGATAAACCACTGTGGCTATTGATGTTGTTTGTTGGTGCTGATGTTAAGAGTACAGAGTTTGAGTGTTGAGGTGCCGATTGTGAAATATGGGAATATGTACCAAAGTGATTGAGTCGGGCGGTTGAAGAGTCGACGAATTGTGATGGTGTGTTAATCAAGTTATTGTGTTGTTGTTGTTGTTGTTGCTGCTGCAGTTGTTGTTGTTGTTGATGTTGCAAAAAGTGGATTGAAGGGGAGGAGTTGTTGGGGCTGCCAGCGAATAAGGAGCTGTTCAAGGATGGGTTAACCGAAGAGCCAATACCGGAGCCATTGTTGATGTTACTGGTGCCACCATTGGGTTTGCTAAGCACATCATTCTGAAGCATTTGAATTAGTTTGAACTTCTCTTGTGGGTTCATTTGAGAGATAGTGTCCATGAAGGTGCTGTTTGTAACGTTGGACACTTGTGTGAATGAACCTGTTTGTTGTTGTTGTTGTTGTTGTTGTTGTTGTTGT